TTATTATGTATATAAATACACACACATACAGTATATATATTTTCGAAATATTTACGTTTATACTTATATTTATTTACTTATATTTTATATTATATATAAATATATTTAATATATAAACATAACATATTTTTCTTAAATATATACTGTATGTGTGTGTATTTATATATACATAATAAATATACACAGTATACACACAGATATTATATAAACAAAAACTTTTATTTTGGATGCGATTAATCGTTTGACAGCACTAATAATTTTATATTAGTAAGTCTTAAGCAATATGTCAGTAAATATGTTAATGCATTTGAAGTATTATGGCATAGGACGTTTTTACTACGAATATAAGATGAAAAACTTAAACAAAACAGAAAAAATACAAATGTTGCCTTGGCACCTAATTGAAATAAATGAGTTAAAATTGAAGTGCTAAAATTATTAAAACTCAAACCGAAATAAAAATAAATTAAAGCTATACAAAAATATTAATTACAAAAAAGAAAAACTAATAAAAATGACAAAAGCATATAGTAAAATTACTAAAACCTGAACTAATAATAATAGTAAATTATTATAAAATACTAAAAATAGTAGTAATAATAATAGTGATAAAATGTATTTGAATGAGAGATTCAGGAACTTCAGCCAGAACAGAGTAGTATTACTCACTTGTTGTTGATTGCACCACCATGATCACAGTCACATGGTCTGCAGCCATCCATGTCGTTACTGAGACCCCAGTGCTGAGGCTATGAGAGAGAGACTAGTTAAAAGACCATTTAAACACCACAGTGTTTACGACAGACCTCACAAGAAGCAAAATGTAAGCAGTAGTTCTTAAAGGCAAATGATCACATTTTGGAATAACTGAATGCAAGAAATCTGGAAAAATAAATAAATATAATTGTTAAAATGTAAAAGAATATATATACTGGTTATTCACTCCCCCCCACCAACAATTCCTGCCGACCTGAGACTCGAACCCATGGGTTACAAGTCCAACTCTCTATCCATTAGGCCACGGGGACAGTCGTGGGGAGATCTGTCATCATACTGTTAACTACTAGGAACTAGGAATCCGAGGCCAATCCCAACGGCAAGCTGTCAAGGCCCTTTCTAGTGCCGCTGAACAAGCGAGTCGATGACTCTGGATTAAGAGGAGGGAATCCGTCTGGGCCCCATAACAACAGAGGTGAAAGCAGAGGAGGGCAAAACTGGGACGTCAGTTGGTGCCGATGAGCCCTCTGGAGGTGTAGTGGGCTGATATCATCGAAACACCAAAGAAGGGGGGTGCCCACCTGCTGACCCCAATGAAGCTGAGACCTCTTTCCCTCTATACCCTCTATTTATATATATTTATTAATGCACATTTAATAAAATTGTTGTATGATTTACAATAATTTACAAAAGTGTCACATTACATATTATAAAAGCACAATGTTATGTTTCTAAAATCATTCACAGTGCTATTGCACAAAGATATATGAATGAACTCATAAAGTAAACAGAACACGCACCAGACACTGGTCACAGTTCCTTCCGGTAACCAGACGTTTACAGTAGCAGTTTCCTGAGTCTGTATCACATGGACTTCCACCTGGAACTGTCCCCAAAGCATTGCATGTGCATGCTGGGTAACAACAAAACAAAAGCAACTTTTATTTGAGATCTTTCAAAACCATTTTCACATGAATTGATGAATGATTTGGGTTGGCTATATTGTGTAAGGCATGGACTTACGCTGGCATCCCAGAGGGTCGTCGCTGAGTCCGTAATGGCCCTGTTTGCACTGGTCACAGCGCTCACCCTCCACATTAGGCTTACAGCGACACTGACCCGCGATCAGCCCGAGAGACACGTCTGTCAGCGGATCACACACTCCACCGTCGAGAGAGCCGACCGGATCACAGTTACAGGCTGGAAAAGATCAATCCGGACAGCGTACTTAAAGACAATGGACAGAACTGTGGACAGCTGGGAAAACTAACAAACGGAGCCATGATAATTCTTATACTGTATCAATGCTGCAGTAAAGATGCTCTGTGTCAACTTTTTTATCGCAATACAGTTTTTCGCAACTAATTCTGTTAAAACTATCTAGTACAAAGTTCACGAAAGATACTTCCATTGTTTAGCATTGTTCACACAACAATAAAATTTAGTTCGTTAACATTAGTTAATGCATTCACAAACAATGAACACATTTTTACAGAATTTATTAATCTACATTGTACATTGATGTTAATATATTAATATATTAACATTGATATATATAGATTAACATTGATATGTTTGTTCAGAATTAATGCTAATTTATACTTAATACTTAAGTTAATTTTAATATCTACAAAATAATTAGTTAATAAGTATATTTTTTGTTAATTCATGCTTGTTTATAAGTTATTAATGAATACTAATTAAATTTATACAACTTGAAATGCTAAAAATACACATAGAAATGTACATTAATCAAATAAATAAATGGTATTTTATTGTTACTCCATGTTAATTATTGGATTAATATTAATGAATTGTACTGCATTGTAAGCTATTATCATAGTTTGATGTAAAAGTCAGAGACCACATTTCTGCTTTGTGGTCAAAAAGTTCAAACTGAAAAACCTCAGTCACCACAACAAAAGAGGAATGTGAAACCCTAGACGCGTGTGGTTTGAGGAAGGGCGGCACTTCGCCTTGTGGTAATGGACTACTTCAAAGCCCAGGTGTTTCTGCTCCCAAATCTGCACGAGCAGAGATGAACAAAGCAACAGCTGGACCAGACTCACATCACAAACTAGACCAGACAGGTAGAGGAGCAGCGGCCGTCTGAAGGGGGAGAAAAGCTCAGAGGAAATGACAGGAGAGGAAATGAGAGGGGACACATACACTCGCAGATGTTGGGGTCGCGGATGTCTTTCTCCGGATGCTGGTAGAAGTAGGGCTTGCACTGCTCACACTTGTGACCCATGGTGTTGTGTTTGCAGTCGTCGCACACGCCGCCGCTCACGTTACCCGAGGCCCGATACACGGCCATGTCGAAATGACAGGAATCAGAGTGATGATTGCAGTTACACTCTGTGAAAGAAGCAAAGAAATGTCAGATGTCAGATGATCAAGTAACAATTGTAACAAAGAAACAATTATAACAAAGAATGACAACGTTTAAAAAAAGCTATAATGCATTAACAACTGCATGACAAATTACGACGTATAAAAACTATAATGCAGTAGCAATTGCGCAACAAATTACAACATTTAAAAACTGTAATGCAGTAACAATAACACAATAAAGAACTACGATGTTAAAAACTAGAATGCAGTAACAACTGCACGACAAATTACGACGTATAAAAACTATAACGCAGTAACTACTGCATAACAAAAAATTATGATGTTTAAAAACTATAACGCAGTAACAATTGCATAACAAAAAATTATGATGTTTAAAAACTACAACGCAGTAACTACTGCATGACAGAATTACATTTAAAAACTATAACGCAGTAACAATTGCATAACAAAGTAACTACTGCATAACAAAGAATTATGATGTTTACAAACTATAACGCAATAACTAATGCATAACAAAAAATTATGATGTTTAAAAACTATAACGCAGTAACAATTGCTTAACAAAGAATTATGACGTTTAAAGACTATAACGATGTTTTACAAGAATTACGATGTTTAAAAACTATAATGCTGTAATATCTGTATGACAAAGAACTACCACTTTGAAAACTATAAAGCAGTAACAATTGTACAACTAAATTTTTTGGACTATGTTCTTTAAAGAAGTTACAACAGTTTCAAAACATGTTTGTACTGTTACAAAAAGTTTAATGTATCTGAGTTAGTAGCATACCAAAGTTAAAATATTGATATATAAACTTCATTAGAAACTGTAACAATTGTACTAAAAAATAGAATGTCAGCATTGTTTAGAAACTCTCATGCAATAACATTGATACAATACTATAATACCAATGTTTCAAAACTATAAAGCAGAATCAAAAGTACATCAAAAAGAATGTTACAAAACTTGTAACACCTGATTTGCAAAGTAAATCTTTTGAAAATCTACTGGTTTCATATGGTTTTTAAAAACATTATGTATAATTTAAAATATATATATTTAATGACTCATGTGATGTAACCATCAAGTCAAATGTAATAGTGCATTTTCATTACATTTTGACATAAATATCACTACATTTTTGGGTTGTACAACAAGACATTTTATAACCAGAATTAACTTTGTTAAAAAGTTCTTTTTAAATAAATGAATAGATCCAGACAAAAAAATGAGCATGATTTCATTGACCCATAACTGAACATTGCAGAAGATCATACTTTTACAGGCGTTGGTGTTGCGTCCCTCCGCGGGTCTCCAGGGCAGGTCATGGTAAAAGTCCTGACAGCGCTCACAGGGTTGTACAACAAGACATTTTATAACCAGAATTAACTTTGTCATAAAAAGTTCTTTTTAAATAAATGAATAGATCCAGACAAAAAAAATGAGCATGATTTCATTGACCCATAACTGAACATTGCAGAAGATCATACTTTTACAGGCGTTGGTGTTGCGTCCCTCCGCGGGTCTCCAGGGCAGGTCATGGTAAAAGTCCTGACAGCGCTCACAGTTCAGCCCCATGGTGTTATGATTACACATACAATGGCCATGGACCTACGGCAAAACAGACATAACAATGATAACCAAGAACAAAATAAATGTAATCAAATTGAGACTATGTGTGGAACAGGATATTTAAAGGCACCACAAATTATAAACAAGTAAGTCCTCAAAATGAATTTGAGCTCATTTCCTACTCAGACCCTAAAAGGGAAAGATTTGCTCAGGACAGTCTACAAATCCGGCCCTAAACCAGATGGCAACAGGAAATGTTTATACTGCATGCATCTGGTCTACATTAAACAAGCTCCAGTCCTGGCACAGACACAGATCTAGATGCAGTCTATATGTGAGCTTTCACAGAACTGCTGAGCCTGGAGATGATCTAGAGTCACTTCAGTGCCTTTGAATAAAATTCTTGCACATAAAAAGGTAGTAAGATGGAGATCTAGATGTAATATCTGTTCATTTCTTTTGTAAGAGCTGCAACAGACTGAGACACATCTCAGTGCAGACGGATTGTAAACAGAGAAGACTGCAGACTAAGCAGGAACCTCGTTCCTTTGGTGTATTTCGTCTTTGGCTTTTCAAATCATTGATATAAAACCACAGAAACACATACTACAACTTCAAGCATAAATGAAACAAAACCAAAAAAGGTTTGTAAACAACAGACACTGCGTGCATTTTCTCTGCAACATGATTATTTGCATTGTACACTATTCAATAATGAAACCACAAGGCGGTCCGCATACTTTCATACTAATGTGAAACAGATCCAAACTGAATTAGCAGCAGACTGTGATGGGACTTCAAACTATTTCTTCCATGACAAATGTTTGTGAGATGTTTTCTTCAAAGCAGAGGTTTAAAAAGCCACAAAAAGGTCTGCTGCATTTAAATGTGGTGTAAATCAAAAACGACTTCCTATTAAATTTGCTTTATTTAATCTACAATTCATTCTGGTATGATGCTGCATTAAAATTTCATAATTTCAGCTCATACGTGATTGCTAAGTCAGTTTGTGGTGGTGATTGGAGGGACAAAATTTTGAAAAATTATAAAATATAATAAAAAAAATAATAACTATAATAATAAATACTATAATTGTACAAAACATAATTGTAAAAAATATATGTAAAAATTATAAAATATAAATGTAAAAAAAAAAAAAAAAATGTAATAATCAAAGTTATCAATAACTTGCATTATGCATGGCATAAAACTCACCATGCCGTCCATGACCTCTCCAGCTCCATCGATGGGGGCGCATTCGGATGCGTGACCATAGCAAAAACAGTTTCCTCTCACCACCATGTCATAAATCGCATAGTAGTACTTCTCCTTGATCTCTATACGTGAGTCCAGAAGATTGTCCCCGAGAGTATGCAGCTTCGTGAACTTCACCCTCAGATTAGTGATCTTTAACATGTCTATAAATGAAAGGAAGCAAGAAGAAATTTGGTTCACACTATTAGGCCACTTAATGACAAGCATGTATGTTAAAATGCTTTCATTTGTGGCCTTACTTTGAATTCTGGGGCTGTAGGGATCATCAATCCTGAAGGCTGGATCCAAAACCCTAAAGATGGCCTTCAGAAGCCAAAGGAACAAGAGTAAATGGAAAATCCAGTATATGAGCAAGTATTCACCAGAAGTGCAGTGCATTTCCAGAGCTCACCTCACCCTCAGTTGAGGGTTCAATGTCGGAGTAGCGGGAATCGCAGATAACATCGTCCACTTTGGTCATGGGTCCTTGAGAGACGAAGGGGAAGGAGGTCTCGCAGTCATAGGCGAAGTAACGGTACACTTGCCAAGTCTTCCCGAAGTCTGACGACCGTTCGATCACCATAGCAGCAGGTCTGAATGTCTAGATAGGGAGCATAAGAGGTCACGGTCGACTTGAGAACGATACTTCCAATATGGATGATAATCCTGCATCATCAGAATTGATCCTTCCTTACATTATATCTATTCTGGTTTTTTGGTTACACTTTATCTTAAGGTGACATTACCTTAAATTACACAAATTAGTACTATTAGTAATATTTATTAACTACAGGTTAGGGTTAGTTGCTTGAAATTATGCCTAATAATTTAATTGCATGTAATGTATGTAACTATGTCACCTTAATATAAAGTGTTACCCTTTTTTTTTTTTACTAGTAGAATGAAAATGAAAGTGTTTTAATGCGCACCTTAAAAAATACCACTAAATCATGATGAAATGTGACATTTAGGATAATAAATAATAATAATAATAATAATAATATTATAGGTTTTTAAGAAAGCATCAATATGGAAATTCTGGCCTAAAATAATCTTATATTTTCATGTTATAGCCAATAACAGATAAATGGATGACATTAAAATACTATTTTGTGTAATTAAAAAGAAAACACTAAAAAGTAAAATAAATCTATTTAAATGCTGCAAGTGAATGTAGGTCTCTCAACATTATAATTTAGTTTAAAAATTTATATTCATTCTGAAATTTGCTTAGGAAAAATGGGATTAAATTTCAAAGTTAATAAATTATGCAGAAAAATATACCAGCCAATATGGTAGCATTATATCATCCAGTGTTATTTTAGTATCGAAAGTTACAGTTTTTTTTTTGTTTTGTTTTGTTTTATTAATTCTAGTCAAAGTTTTAGCAAATTGTTTATGTGCTTCTCATTTTTTAGCAGTTTTTTAATATGTCTATATAGTTTTCATTAATTAAATTTTTACATTTTTAGTTAAATCCAACAACAAATAAACAGCAGATTGTGAGAAATTAAGAAACTAGTCAAGTATTTTCATAATAAAATGTTATATATATACACACACACACACACACATATATATATATATATATATATATAATTTTATTTTATTATGAAACTACATCACTAGTTTTTAATATGTCTTTTAAGGCACAATGTTAAAAGGCTAGACACTGTACTGTTAAAAATTATGAAAATTTCCATTCAATTTAAGTACTGGTATCAATATTGACATTACTCGCTTGGATAGTATTTGGTATTGTTAAAAAATAATGCTATTTTATTTTATATTATAACTAGTGCTGTCAAAGGAATAATCGCGATTAATCGCATCAAAAATAAAAAAAATTGTTTACATAGTATATGTGTGTGTACTGTGTATATTTATTATGTATATATAAATACACACCCATACATGTATATATTTAAGAAAAATATGTTACGTTTATATATTACATATATTTATATATAATATAAATTATATGAATATAAATATATACATGTAAATGCATGTAAATGTTTTCAAAATATATACTGTATGTGTGTATATTTATATAAACATAATACATATACACAGTAAACACAGATATATTATGTAAATAAAAACTTTTATTTTGGATGCGATTAATCGCGATTAATCGTTTGACGGCACTAATTATAACAAACAAACAGTGATGAAAGTTTTGTTCCTGTACAGTTTCCCAACAATCTTTGCAATCAACATCACATGAGCACTATTGTTCTCTTGATGCCAGTCGTTTCTATGCGCTCTCTGATTTCTTTGAACTGTATTGCTGAAGTGAGATCATGCTGAAATGCAATCTTCAGCTGAAGCATTCCAGTCGTCTCCGTCGGCTGCACAGCTGGGTTTATCCCAGACCTCCCACGGCTCCCACACACTGAGCAACACTTCCCCTCCTGCCAGCAAAATCCACATCAACCCCCCTTCCCTTCCCACATTCTCTCCTAACGACCGCAAATCTCACCTCAGCCCGGGGCTGTGGCGACACCTTTCCCCCAAAACACACATCACCAACTGACTGTCCTCAGCACTTACTCTAAAGGTCATGATGAGGTGTGTGAAGTGGAACTCTGCCTCCAGGTTCAACTGGATTGTGACGTTCTCCAGGCCTGAGAAAGAGAGCGATAAAGACATGAGTTAAGACAAAGAGTTGTATTTCTCCACATTTATTAATGCCGTTCCATTTGTTAACTCCCAAACTGTTCTTTATTATGTTCTTTAGGCTCTTTACCGGCATCTGTAGTTTCATGAAGAACTTTTAACATCAAGAGAACCTTTCCATTCCACTAGTATACAAAAGCTATTTCAATTTTTAAAATGTTCTTCACACACGAAAAGGGTTCTTTTAAGAACTGTTGACTGAAAAGTTCTTTGGGGAACCAAAAATCATCTTCTATGGCATCACTGTTTTGCAATCTAAAAGCTTAAAACTGGACCCCATTCACTTTCATTCTATGCATAAAACAACAAAGTATATAGAAAATATATATTTTTTATATATTCTATTGTTTTACAAACGAGGGTGATAATAATGACAATTCTCATTTTATTCTCTATCATTATTTGTCATGAACCCTACCTTGAATATATGTTAATATATTAATTATTATTTTCGGGGGAAAAAAAGAAAAAAAAGTTTTACTAAATAGTAGTTTTAAGCAAATCCTTTAAAGTTTCTAAATGAAATGAAAGTCTCTATTTGTTCTCTATTTAATCTAATTGCTGGCTAGAAGAAACAATTGAGATTAAAAAGATCTTTGGTATGATGTTTTGGTAATGCTTTACAATAAGGTTTCATTTGTTAAACTTAGTTAGCTGCACATGTTAACATGCACTAACAATGAAAATACTGCTTAAGTGTTTATTAATCTTAAACCCTATTCGCACGGGATTAGTATTACCTGGTGACCTCCAGTCATTTGTAATAATTGCGGAGGTTGTCTGTGATCTTAATCCCGTGCGAATCGGCCATGTCTGTAATTTGTAATGTAAAAATTCCCCCGCAAATGACCTACCATATTTCGCCGAACACCGAGGTCCTGTGATAATATTAGTCCCGTACACAAGGTCCCCAGATAATACTAATCCTGTGCGAATAGGGCTTTAGTCAATGTTAATTTTAACATTTATTAATACATTGTTAAAGTCAAAGGTTGCATTTGTTAATATTATTTTATGGACCTGAGCTAACAAGAAATAACAATGAACGGTTGTTTTTTACACATTATGGTACTGTCGTGAACGCGCGATGAAGATTGACAGAAGAGAAGAAATTATTTTCGTTATTTTTGTTTTCTTTGCGAACAAAAGGTATTCTCGTAGCTTCATAAAATTACAGTTGAACCACTGATGTCACATGGACTATTTTAACGATGTCTTTACTAACTTTCTGGGCCTTGAATGTGTCAGTTGCGCTGTTGTCTACGGAGGGTCAGAAAGCTTTCAGATTTCATCAAAAATAACTTAATTTGTGTTCCCAAGATGAACGAATGTCTTACGGGTTTGGAACGACATGAGGGTGAGCAATTAATGACAGAATTTTCATTAACTAATGGGACTGTATTATAAAGTGTTACCAATTTTTCTCCATTAAGGTTCTGTAACTGTAAAGGAAGGGTTAAGCAACATAGTTTCAGTACAAATTACACCATTTTAAAAGGAACATCTGTATCTTGTACATTAAGAAGCAATGCACAATTGCCCTAATAGTACTGCAGACCTCTACTGCTCTATAGTTACACTAAACATCTGCTTTTTTAGTGGGAAAGTGCTTTGGGGGTCCATAAACATCAAAAATAAGAATAAACAGAGTCATATCTTTAATTAAGTAGGAGGTCACCCCTGGTATTCCCAGGCTTTTGGCCCAGTTGGCTGCTGTATCTTCTTTGTCCTCCTACCCCATACTCTCTCCTAAACCATACATTCACAGGCTTCTCTGGTTGCATTCATGGCCCCTCGTTTCCTGTCCCACTACATTTCACACTCCTCCACTGCAATAACCAGTAAATCTCTGGATTTCTATTTCCTCTGTCTGTTTGTCTCATCGAGGAACATATGGCTTGTAGAACTGTACATTCTAATCGCTTGCAACAGCTGGACCTTCTCCATGTTGGCTGAAGAAGATGTTTCGCAATTCAACCGAGTGGGTGGCTGTAGGGTAATGGGAGTTTTCCGAGGTAAAGTATGTCTTACAATCTTCCTAAAAAACTAACACGATGTGAGGAATAGAATAGACTTTAAGTCATTGTTCACTGAAAGTTGCTCTCAAAACTACATTTGCATTTCTGCATATTCAAAATTAGGTTGTATAACATAACAACCAATGACAGTTGTTTAAGGGTCACACAAGTCTAAGAGTAAAAATAAGAGTGCCTATGACAAAAAAAATAAGCAAAATGCTAGTACTTATAAATGTATTCTTTGTATTTGTGTTGCTGTCATGTGATTTTGAAAACTTTTATATCATTTTACTGAATAACTAAAAATATAATGTGTTTTTAAAATCAAGTAAAAACAATTGAGTACATTAATAAGTGTCTGAGAGTATCTTATTTGCCATTTGTACCTTATTCATCATTTTGATGTTTTAAAATATATTTAAAAAGGTAAAAAGTGTTTTTCACAATTATAATGAATTATTAATTTATAAATATCTTCAGGTTTTCAGAGCACCACATGACATTTTACAACCTGAACTAACCTTGTCATGAAAAGATTAAACTATTTGATATTTTAAGAGACATACTGACTTCTGCTGAGGTCCTGATATTTTCTGTTTTATGGTTTTTTTCTGCATATTGATTGAGTCACATGACTTTGATTTGGCAGGCTTTTTTCAAACATTAATAAGCAGTGAATATTTTTTTTCTAAGAAAAAGAATAACATTAAAATTTTATTGTTTTATATATATATATATACCGTATATATATATTTTTTATATTTGTATCATTTATTATTAGATTATAAGCATAAATTTGACAAAATAATGGACCCTTTTCACAAGACTGTGATGACGTGTTTAACAGTCATCAGCATCGTAAATCCTCGAAAGTTTTTCATATTAGTTTTTTTTTTTTTTAAATGTATGTACATTTATAACACTAATCTTTGTATTATATCACCTTTGCATCAAATTACAAAAAAACAGTTAACGCTAATGCGAAACGCTAACGCTAACGCTAATATGAAATAGTGTTTCTAATGAAGCATTTATGGGAGGGACGGTAAATTTGACATCGTTCTCTCTTCTGACTGCCGTTATCAGTCTCTCTCAATTTTTTTCCTTTTATTGAAAGTCACGAAAACACTATCGTGGAGTTTTTCTTTTGCTATTTGAGCAAATAGAAATGCAAAAAATATATTAGTGGTACTCTCCCATTCACTGCTATTCAAGTTAACCCAACTATGATGACTTCCGCTTCTGAGAAACCCAGAAATGTGAAAAAGGTTTATAATTTAATTTATTGGATTGAAACAGCATGGGATAAATGACACAATCTTCAATTGGCAGGTAGAAAACTCTTTCCCAGGGAAAAAGAGATGTCATTCCACACTTTAAAGACTGGTCATCACCTTAACTGGTCAGCAATTACGCAACTGCTTTGAAGTAGTTAGTCCCTCCATTGGTCTGATTATAGGGGAACTAACGGACACACTAATGAGGGAGAGTTCCCTCTAATAAGACCTTGTTTCACAGCCTTCCTACATTCCCGTGAGAACTACACGGTCTTTCACATCCAAGACTGAGCAAACACCTAAAATAGTACTGAATAGTATTGAAAAGAAAAGAAGATGAGCAATTGTTTGGTTTGGAGTCACAACACAACTCACCATTTTCTGACTGCCACCAAGTCTTGAGGCGGTTCGGGGCGAACGTAGTCACGACATTTTCAATTCTGTGGCTGGTTACTTGGTGCGTGCTTTCATCGTAGGTTCCCCTGGAATCGCACACAAAGCACTTCTTCTCTTCCTGTGATGGAGGGGGTGGAAAAACCAGATAATGTCAATGGCATTCTTGTGACGCAAGAACTTCTCCAAATGAAATGAATGACTGTAAGGGTCTCTGGGATACTGAAGCAAGTCAACCCACTTGGTCTGGCTTACATGACACAGCTTTTTCAAAGTCTGAAGGCCCACAGAGAGCATTGGTTTCATGTGCAGGCCAGAAGTTCAGAGCTGCTTTGTGACATTTTCTCTTAATTAAATACCTATTAAAGCAATTTGACTCTCTTGAGGGCAATTAGCTTGAAAATTGGGACATATATTGTGTTGTAATTTGACTAGTGCGTTAAAATAAGTTCCTGGCCGCCATTTGACCTCAGCTCCAACTCAATATGTTGCACTGCAAAGATTTTTCTTTGATGACACCACCTTGTTTTAAATGATTAAACGTGAAAAGAGATGAAGATAAACTGATCAAAAGAACTGATCCAATATGTCTCGAGACAAAACTTGGAAGTAATTATCTCTCTATTATGGTGTGGCATGAGCGATTATCACTCAGCCATAGCATCATCAAACCCCTATAAACCTGCAGATTGCATTTTTGAAGATTCAGAAGACCCACATAAGATGTTCAATGGCCCGACGTAAAACATTTTAAGGCGTTTTGTCTAGAAGGAAGTAGTCTAGACATTCAAGAGTCGAAGGAAACAAATCTCTAAAGACAAACATGTTCCAAAAACACCCACATGAAATAACAGGACAGCAATAAATCTCTTTCTGAAGATGTTACAGATAAAAGCTCCAAAGGGTGTTGGAAGAAATCCCACAAGTGGAAATAAAACACATAAATTCTCAATTGTGGCATTAAAATACAATTATCAGGCCGAGTATAGAGCCCAAGGGGGTGCAGTTTTCATTCCGGATGAACATATATCAATTGATGGCATGGCGTGACCATAAAATTAATGCTTGTCTTTGCAACTTTTTGCAACTTGAAAAATAAAACAAATTTATACCACTACGTAATGATGATAGCACATTGTAATTTTAATTCAAACTTAATTGCTAAACTTTTAATGCCAAAACAGCTATATTTAATCAACAATGAAGGATAATGGTTTGCAGCACACAGGTTACCTGCAAATGACTGACGATACAAAAAGGCTCAGGTTTTTGGTGTCCGCATGTGGAGGTGGCTGAGAGTTGGTGTGCTCTTCCAATGAGAAGATCTCCTGTGGCAGGATAACAGCTCCCCTCTGTGCAAACATCTCCCAGCTCAGGCACATCTGCGAGACCCCATGCCCCTAAAACTTTGTGGAAGAAAAACTTTTATATGCATCTGGTAGTAGTAGTGAAATGTAATACCATATAGACTTTGTTTGCTTGCATTTTTAGGGTCCTTTAAGTTTCAGTTTAAGAAAAGCTAAAAAGAGGCTGATATATATATATATATATACACACATATACTTATATTAATATATACCCTTAAATTTATTTTTAGGGTCCTTTAAGTTTCAGTTTAAGAAAAGCTAAAAAGAGGCTGATATATATATATATATATACACACATATACTTATATTAATATATATTATTAAGATGAAACAAATTAAGTATATTTATTAAACCTTAAACGTAAAAAAGCTAATTTATGTGCAGTAAAACAGCATATAATTCACAAATGAACAGGCAATGGTGTAAAATACATATAATTTATAAAATTACATAAATTATAATTTCATTTTTGCTTAAAGTTTGAGAAACTATGCTTTATACAGGTCAAACCTCTACATAAATGTGACTTTGCCCCAATAAAACTAAAATGAAACTTACTTAAAAGGGCTGCGAGCTGTAACAGCATGTTTCTAGATTCTTTCTTCAGCCGGGGTGCAGTAATCCTGATTTTGCTTGGAAACTGCAGAGCTGAGTCTGATCCCTGCAGACTGTGCTGCTGCTTTACTGCAGCTGGAGCTGCGCGAAACTTTTTCTCCTCAGCCGCTAATCTTCTGCGCATGCGCACAACGCTTCGACTCGTCTCGCGCGCTCCCTCCCCCATTTTCGAAGGTGGTCTTGAGGTAAGCAACGGCCAGTGAAAAACGGATAAAAGTAATTAAAAGAGCACTGAAGTATAGGTTTAAGTACACTCGAGTCGACTGTACATGTCAAATGAATAACACTGATAGCAATTATTTGCGTATTTGATGAAAACGCGCCATTTGAGGGGATTTGAATCCGGCAAAGATATTTTACCCTCTTCAAATAGGGAGGGATTGTTCTGGTTTGTGACAAAAAAAAAAGAGTTAAAAGTACAAGATTTTCAATTTGTATATTGGGAACGACGAAACGTCAGATTAATTTATCTTAAATCTACTTTAATTGTGGTTATACCATGTTTTAATAATGATAATTAAATCAAATGTTATGCATAGAGTGCTATATTCATTCACCACAGTATTAACAATGTACTCCAAGGTACCAATAATGGTACAACAGTGGTACATTTTCTAGAAAACCATGGTACTTCTACTACGTGGTATTTGTTAATGTTAAGAGAAAGACAAAACCTTTCTGTGGTTGCAGTGTTTTTATTAAAAGATAAAATTACCATTTTACATAGTAATCTAGATTCTCACGCACAATTACAAGTCCTAACAATTTTATTAACAGCTATTCTTACTTCCAATAATGATACACTAAAATGAACTGATCTGTGATCAGTGAAATGGCTTTAAATGGCTTTAGGTTTCCTCAGTAATTAGGCAGTTTAAAGGTCAGTCAAAGAGCAGGAGGTTCATGTCGAACTGATGTGGATTTGGTGGTTGTCTTGACTGAGATAAATTAGTGTAATAATGACCAAGAAGAGAAACACAGACTTCAGTCAGTTTAGACATTAGGAATTAAACCGGAGATTTGAATTATCAGTATATTAAGGCAATAAAGTGGTCAGATATTTAGATATTAAGTTAGGCAAGTCCTACAAAGCATACATTGTAAAAAGTGAAACCTAAATTGATTCCATCCTACATCCTGTCACCTTTAACCAGCTTGTGTAGAGTTTTTCTTTGTTTTCGCTTTGTAAACTTCAGGAAGAGATTAGGTGAGGTGACACAACTAATATCTGCAGATCCTTCTGAAACCTGAAAGACACAGTTTACTCATTCAGCAGACTGACCAAAAAAAAAAAAAAAAAGTTCAGTCAAGTAACTTCGAGTTGTAACACCTAAATTACCTTTTTTATTCAAGTCAAAAATACTACTTAATATGGCTGATTCAATCAACTACATTAGGTTACTTTAAAAAGTCATTTTTAACAATCAGGTAGAATTGTTTTAAAACATTTTAAACATCATCTGTTTCATTACTTTTTCCCTTTATCTTCACCCAATGAAGATGAAATTAACTCTGACAAAACAAAGTGTGTCTGAACAACAATAAAGTAGTTAAAAAGGTGGGAAGATCCACTCAGACAGACCAAAGAAATCACATCAGTGGGGCTTTACCTTTGGTTTTGCAATTGAATAGTCTACGGAGAGGTTGTTAACACCGTAGGACAAAAGCACAGACCCTCCACCTCCTGCGAGAGACAAACGAGCACATTCCACAAGCAGCAGGCGTCTAAACCTGACTGTCTTATCTTAATGCACATGGAGCAGCTGTTGAGCTCAATTCTGGAAGTAATGCTGAAGTAGGTTTTTAATCAAGAGGTTTGAATTACTTATCCATGAACCAAAAAAATTTAAATACTTTTGGAGGAGACTTAGAGGAATATGCCTAAATAGCTCAGACATAAGCCAATTTGGAATGAGCTAAACAGAATTGAATAAACAGTAATTGAAGTTGCATCTCTGATTTTCGTCAGTCTGATTCAAACGAAATTCATCAAAGTCTTTTTGAATGATTCATTTGAAAACGTGGCTTATAAGAATCACTGTGAATCAGTGAGAACAACTCAATAAAAATAAATTTTGTCATTGGTTTGCAGCACACATTCTTTTTATCTCATCTTTTTCAATTCATCAAGCAAATAACTTGAGTAAAATATGATTGGTTTTGCTGTGGCACTATAGATTCAAGCAGTGCAGGAAACAATGCTGCATAGTTTGTGTGATAGGCGACATTTTAAATTTTACTCTTGCGACCTCTTGTGGACAGTCAGGGTTATACATTACCTATATAAGATTCTCAAACTTGGCCCATCATTTGCTAAAAATATACTATAAATACAAAACAAATAAAAAAAACTGAACAGAACCAGAATATGGTCATTAAGTATTTCTGGGGCTTGATGAGAACCAGTTCATAGCTCTAGATTGTAAACAAAAAAATCAGCAAGCCCACAAAGAACCAGGATAAAAGGACTGCACTTATTCTGTAAACCTAGTCCAAGACCGTTTTGCCTTGCGTTGCCTTCAGAATTTTCCCATGGCAAACACTGAAAATGCTTCCTCTAAATTTGAGGAAGGGAAGCCCTTGCAGGCTTAAGTGGAGCACAGATTGTATTTATCCACTTTGTCAACAATAAAGTTCCTCAAGTCATCTGCCTCCTTCTGGAGTGCCTCCAAATCTTTTATCCTTTCCTCTTTTCTTTCAGCTGCAACCAGAATCCTTTTCTCCAATTCTGAAACGACAATGATAAAGGAAAAAAATTCTATTGCTAACAAGAAATTAACACCTATAGAAATCCGTAAATCCCAAAGCATACTGCTTCTTATGATACTGTACCTTCAATTTCCTTAATTTTATCTTCCACATTTTTAGCCAGTGTTTCTGCCTCTATTGTGATGTTCTTCAGACGTTCGTTAGCCTCTTCATTAACATTCTGGTTTGTGCTATTCAGTTTTAACTTTTCAAACTGCTCTTTCAGTTCCTCAAGATCCTACCAATGGAGAAAACCAATCCACTTATAGCAGGTTAAATATGCTATATCTAAAGGCAGTGCACCATCTTTTAGGTTACTATTAGTACACTTTTACATGAACATAAACCATGTTTGTACATCCAACATATAGCTTATTTAAATAAATATATGTATTTGTGCTTGTGAGACTTACCTTTTCGGTGTTTTTGGCACTGTCAAGCACTGCATTGGCAGCATCTTTGGCCTCCTTCCCCTGAGCTCTGTTCATCTCCGTCTTATCCTTCAAGGCTTTGATTTCATCCAGTAACTTTTTGGCACGAGTCGAATCCAAATTATCCTCAATATTTTTTAGTTTAGGTTCAGTCTGTTTAAAAGTGATGAGAAAATATTGTTATAAAGCAGTTTATTAGGGCAAAAAAAGTTGAAATTATCTCTCAAAATAACTGATAATGCATTGAGAGCAAAACAACAAATCTAAAACAAAAAACAAAATAAAAGAAAGTTACACCATACACGTCTGGAATGACATGAAGGTGAGTAAAAATTCCTTTAAACGTGCATGTATTGTTTAGTAAAATAAACCATTACCTCATTAACTTTCCCCCTGATAATGTCATTGTTTTCTTCAGCCTCATCCAGATCATAGACTATCTTGTCATTGAGCTTTGCTGTATCATTGAGTGCTTTCTCTATCTCCCTCACATTGATAGCCTTGGTTCGGTTCCTGGTTATGCAACAACCAAACAGGATTAGTGACGCTGGTGTCCACAGGTTTAGCTTTATAAAGCACAATGAAATGGTAAAAACTACAGCTTTGACACATTGACTTCATTACTGCAGCCTCACAAGATTTCTTGGGCCCTCTCCTTCATGTCTTCAGCAATTCTGGCTTGTTTTTCCAAGTGCTCTAGATCATTGTCGAAGTCTGTGACGTTTGCCAGGATCCTCTTGATGTCCTCTATCATGTCCTTGATCTCATCAGGGGATTTGGGCAGCTGAATGGACAACACAGCATTGGCCAGTTTCTCAATGTCCTCTGGCTTCACCAGCTCGTCTGTTAAGGTACAATACTCAACTAAATTTACATTTTACCATGTGCATTTTATTTTACTCTAAATGTACTGTAAATGTAAGTGGTAGTTTTGTCCTAAATAAAAATGTATTCTTCAGATTCATCCCTCAAATCACATTAAGGCTACGTCCACACGAAGCCAGAGCTTTCCCTATCCGATCTTTTTTTCCCCTCGTCTCAAGAAATATCTGCGTCCACACGAAACCACAAAACCGACACAAAACGATGAAGTATACATGCCAGACCAGTATGTGGCGCTGTAATTCTGCCACAGAGATACACTAAAAACGGAGAAGAAGACTTGGACTAT